AGAGTGAAAAATTTGACAGATACTTCACAAAAGATAATATGAAAGTGGCTGACAATTATATAAAATGTGTTCCATATCATTAGTAAGTAGACAAATACAAATTAAAAACCATGATGAAACACCATTACATAAACATAATGAGTGTTTTTTTTAAAGAAAAGAATACTAAGTATGGGTGAGGATATGAAGCTGGTAGAATTATAAAAGTACGTATTTCTACAACTCCTTTGGAAAAATATTTGACAGTACTTGATGAAGGAAAACGTATGTATATTGTATAAACCCAATAATTCCACTTCTAGGTGTATGTCCCAAAAAAGTAAATAATAATATGTACCAAAAGGCATACAGAAAAGTGTCCATAGAAGTTTTACTTGTAATAGCTCTAAACTGAAAACAAACCAAATGTTCATTAATAATATATTTATATTTTATATATATAAATATATATTTATTTATTATTATATAATCCCTGCATACTACCCAGCTATTAGCAAAAATAAACTTCTTTACATGCAACTTGGCATAATATTAAGTGAAAATGTTTATATGCTGAAAATATATATTTTGTCTATGTAAAGTTATAAAGTTGATTAAATTATGGAAATCAGAATGATTCTTACTCTTGGGAGTTACTCAAAAGAATTAGGCACTTTCTTGAGTGCTGAAACTATTATATGTATATTACTTTTGGTGGTGGTTATTATTTTTAAATTCACAAATTCACTGAGGTAAAAAAGATAAAAAGGACTGTTGACCTAATTTGGTAGAGTTCATTCTTATGAACTCTTTGATTAAAGGAAGGAAAGACTGTTCTTGTAAGTACTTTCTGAGCAGGACATGGTCTAGCAATTTAATCCATATATGAGAATGAATTCCCAAGGGCAGGCCAGAGGGCAGGACTTGGTTCTCCTTAGTGCTCTCCTTCATTTTTGATCTTTCCTCCTACCAAATTAAGTTACAAATAGCCAAATTCTATTTATTTGTTAATAAAGACCTACAATCTGAAACAGAAATGTAGGGAAAATTAACTTTTTAAAGTGTATCAAGTTTCTAATATTATCAGAAGAGAGTTTAAAAGTTTGGGCTTAAAATTGTCTATTGCTCATGAAATAACTGTGTTGAGTAGGGACTGAAGCTAAAGTTAGTGAGGTGATATGTCAGCTGCTTCTGTAATACTTCTGTTCAGAAAAACTGCCTTTACCTAAGCACAGGAAATGGAATTTCATAGTTAAAATGGCCTAGTTTATACGTAGATTTTCAGACCTCCAGTCAGTAGAGAATCATTTAGATCATTCTGGAGGTTTGGCCCTGGTCCTGAAACTTTTCCTGTACTAATTCTCCAGTGGCTAAGTCTCAGTGGGTCCCCAGAGTCTCTTACCTTGGGTCCACTTATGTTTTCTACCCTTATAACCTCCACTCAACCTGAGTCATGCTCTCCAGTTCTATTTATTTCTGCACTTTGATCATTTTGCCAGAATCACTGCTTGCCAAAATCTCCACCTGATGCCTGTTGCTTTCCAGTCACTTAACCCAAGCATCTGACTCTACCTCTAAGGGCTACCCCAGAGCCCAAAATCAGTATATTTATAAAAATTTCAGGTCAAGAAGGATACATGTATAATTACCTGAATCCAATCCTCCTTCTCAAATGTTTACTATACCACTGATGCCCAAGTGTTAACCTTAATCTTTCTGTTTTGACTGTTTCTCCAAATGAATATTTGAACCTTAAGTAAAGGTAGCCTCCTATTTTCCTGGTACCCTTCATCTCTGAAGAGCTTTAAGTTGAATACACACATTCTACTTATTCATAGACCCAAGCCAAAACTTAGGCTCAAAAATTTGCACGGCCCTTTAGCTTAGTTGCCCTTAACATCAACCAAAGTTCTCTGGAGGCACCCAACATGTTAAGGTAACAATAATCCCAGATGACACTGACTATCCCATAAACAGTCTCAAGGGGTCATGATAAGCTTCTTTATAAGTTGTTTTCAGTTCTTGTACAGGATAAAATGTCTAGCATTAAATCATCAATTGTATCAAATTCCTTATGTGTCATTATAAAACAATGATTTTTCACCTACTTATGAAAGAAGATACTATATCTGTATATAAAATATTCAGGTTCTATTTATCTATTTTCAATAATATAGGGGATACTGTATGTCTTCAAAAGCTATCTATCAGAATTATAACCCATTTGTATAATATGGCATGGCTTTCAAGTATGGATTATAAAGCCCACTGAGAAAATTGCAGCATTCTAAAAATAACAGTAGTAGTTAACTCTCAAGAGTTGGTTGTCTTTTGTACTTCTATGAATTTGAAAGCCATCTATATCTCCAATATGTTAGATTTCATTTTAAGCAAAAAGAAATTGATTTTCAGAAAATGTGTGGGTTTATTGGTGTCAGAGCTAATACAATCAAGGACAAATCATTAGTATTTTAACTCCAGGATCGGTATGACTTTTATTATATCACATGTATTAATTAACAGATTGTGTGTATGTATGTGTGTGTGTCTGAAATAGGCAATTATTTCAGCTGTTCAAAATATAATTTATTTAATAAATATTTATTGAGCACTTATTATATATCAGGTTTACTTAGATTAATATTAGTTTTGTATCATGTCAAAAGGACAAAGTGCAAGATTTCAATAAATTTCAAATTCTGAAGCTCAAATCCTGTGATAATTTATGAAAAAATCCTAAAAATGGCAGGATATTTGTTTTAAAATATTTATGATAACATAACAGTACTTATAGAGAAAAATATTAAAGCTTAAAATCAGACTTAAGCTAATTACATGTTATTCACATCATCAAAACAAAGATTATAAGGAATATGTAATAATTGAAATTCTGGGAAAACAGGATACAATTTTTGTATGTATTGTGGATAATATGGATAAATCTGAATATTGAGTTTATACATAAGAAAAAGACTTGAAAGACAAAATCTGAATTATCAATTCCAGTTCTTTGATTGGTGTGAAATAATTTTTTTGGTATTTCTTAAACTATTTATGATAGCTTTTTGAGGTACATGCTAGTATATATCTGCAAAATTATCATAACAATTAAGATAATGAGCATTCACATCACCCCCCAAAATTTTCCCTTAGAAAAAGATGTAGAGATATAATGTAAGGGATATAAATGCTAATTTGTGTGTATATATCAGCTTACTATAGTTCAGAAGATTTTTATTCTATTTTTTTCTTCAGTTAACTTGGAAAAAAAAATATTTGCTTTATTGGATTGTTGAGAATTGAGTAACAGAATAAGTTATATATTTCATCTGTGTTACTGTGTATTTTAGGGTTTGAGGGTTTGTAACATTTTGGAGGCAGAAACAGAGGAAGGGAAAGAAAGATATGAAAAAAATGCAGTGAAGGACAGATTGCTTATGTGTGTATATTCTCTGAAAGAATTGATTTACAAATTCCTCTCTTACAAACATGTTTGGCAGCGTGTCGGGGATGTTTAACAGCAATGGCAAACTGCATTGTGTGTATTAATCTGCGCAAATCATCCAACCTGCTCTTTGAAAGTCTTCTTTAAAATGAGAACCAGTTAGCCCCTTCTGCTTCCCACTCAGCAGGATTGATTCAGAACTAAACTTGGCAGACTGTAAAAAGAAGGTATCAATCAAATTTAATAACCTATATTTATTAATATGCGAGCATCAGCAACCTGTATCAGACAGAAATAAAATAGAGAGTATGTTCACTCCGATTTGCTCCACTCACAATGACAACCATTCTTGACAGATTTACAGAATACCTCTAAATCATGTATGTAAATCATTTGCACCAACATCACACCCCCTTGCTATCAGTTCAGTTCAGTTCAGTTGCTCAGTCATGTCTGACTCTTTGTGACCAAATGAACTGCAGCACTCCAGGCCTCCTTGTTCATCACCAACTCCCGGAGTCCACCCAAACCCATGCCCATTGAGTCAGTGATGCCATCCAACCATCTCATCCTCTGTCGTCCCCTTCTCCTCCTGCCCTCAATCTTTCCCAGCATCAGGGTCTTTTCCAATGAGTCAGCTCTTCACATCAGGTGGCCAAAGTATGCTACAGGCAATAGAAAATTCAAATCTAATCTTTCTGTATTTATATTAGTTTCCTGTTGCTACTGTAACAAATTCCTATAAGCTCAGAATCTTAAAACAGTACACATTTACTATTTGTATAGTCTGGAGGCCAGGAGTCCAAATGGGTCTCATTGAGCTAAAATCAAGATTCAGCAAGTAGAATTCAGGGGAGAATTCATTTCTTGCCTTTGCCTACTTTCAACAGGCTGTCCATACTCTTTGGCTCATAGTCCTCGCCTCTGTCTTCAAAGTCAGTCGTAGCCAACTGAGCCTTCCTCATTGTCCATCACTGACGCTGCCTTTCTCTTTCACATACGCTTCCCAGGTGGCACTGGTGGTGAAGAACCCACCTGCTAATGCAGGAGGACATAAGAGACATGGGTTCAATCCTGAGTCGGGAAGATCCCTGGAGGAGAGCATGGCAACTCACTCCAATATTGTTGCCTGGAGAATCCTATGGACAGAGGAGCCTACTGCCTATAGTTCATAGGAGCACAGAGTTGGACACAACTGAAGCGAATTAGCAGATAGTCTCGTGATTACATTGAATTCACATGAATAAGCCAGGACACTATCCCAACTCTAAAGTCAACTGATAAGCAATTTGAACTTTATCTGCTACCTTAATTCTCTTTTGTCACACAATGCAACATATTCAGAGACTCCAGGGATTAACATTAACTTCTGTTATTCTCCCAATCATAGTTCTCTCTTCCTCTCTTGGTACCAATGACTACCATATTAAAACCTTGTTCTGATCCTGCAGGTCTCTTTTTGCCAAAAAATAAAAAGTGCAGATGCATGTAAAAGTGTTTCCCAAAAAGACTTATGACAAAACATTATCCCCACAAGTCAGCAATAGTCTAAAATTATGTTACTTTTCTTACAGGGATGACAATGAAATGCTTCTTGTTTCTGGCCGTTGCTGCTGGCTGCCTGCCTGTTTTGATTATAAAAGTATGTGAGGATTGTATATTTTATGATTACTTTTGAGAGGAGGATAAGAGCTAACTCTGTGCTAGAACTTATTTTGTTGCAGGCACTATTGTGAGGACGCTATGCCCAGTAGGCCAGCTAAAGTCCATGGGGTCGCAAAGAGTCAGACACGACTAAAGCAGCTGAGCACACACAGGCACATGCCTAGTATTCACCTAGTTCTCACCATAGCTCTATTAGGCAAGTACTATTCTTAATCTCATATTACAGAGAAAGAAATCAAACAGAAGAGGTTAAGTCATGTGTCCAAGGTCAGATAACTTGGAAGTGAAAGAGCCTGAAGGTAAATCTAAGCAGTTTGACTTCACAAGCCCATGCCTATATCATTAAACTTCTCTGAATAATTCAAAAAACTAAAAATGTAGGGTGGGAATTACTTCTTTACAACTGATCCATGCATTTTCCATGACAAAATGGGAAAAATATTGTTTTTTAGTTTTTATCCAGAAAAGGTAAGTATTTCATCAACATCCCAACTGAACTTTCTGATTTATGACTATAACAAGAATTTAATACATCCAAATTAAATATAAAATGAAAAGTTCCAGGACTACCCTCAAAGTCCAGTGGTTTGGAGTCCACATTTCCACTGCAGGGGCTTTGGTTCCACCCCTGGTCTGGAAATTAAGATCCCACAAGCCTCGCATCACAACCAAAAATAAAAAAGAAAATATGCCAACAGCAAGGAGAGAAATGTGAGGAGCTGTTAGCAATGGAGTCAATATGTGATGCTTGAATCTCACTACTTATTAAAAACAAGAGTTTCAACATTCACAGAACAGAAATGAAACATTTAATGGTATATAGGAAGAAATAAATTCTGAGTATTTTACAAATCATCCAATAATATGTACCTGTGAAAAATCTCAAGGATATAAGGAAAATATTACATTGCAATGTACTGAAAATATTTTTTATGATGAACTGGTTAACAGGTTTGGTATAGAACTTGAGTGGTTTTTATATTTTCACATGCTAGATAGAAGTCAAGAGTAGAAAAAAGTGAAAGCTGCTTAATTCAATAAATGAAAGAAAATCCACATACAATAGATTACTGGGGTGCTGGTGTGGATCTTATCATTCACACTTCTTTCTCCACGAGAAACCAGATGGAGCTCTTGCCTGATATCCAACAATCCTCTGGTAAGTTAAAAGTATTGCATTTTGAAGTGATCATCAGATACAGGTTGCAACCTTTATGGTAGAAAACTAAAAAGCCTCAGAAGAGAAGCTTAAGAGACTAAGTTAAAGTGACTGATGTCACTCCTATTGACTGCAGAATTTGGGGTAGACAAGATGAATTGTTTCAGGAGACCCAATTTCTATCAATGAGAGGAATTCACAGGAAAGTGACTATAGGAGAGTAAATGTTCAGGGGTGAGATAGCTAGAGCTAAATGCCATGAATTTCACTGAAGCAGCATATTTTAAGAGGAGCAGGGAGAGTTATCATATGGAACTTAAGGAAATTCTTGTGGGTTCGCAGTTCAGTTCAGTTCAGTTCAATCACTTAGTCATGTCCAACTCTTTGTGACCCCATGTGCTGCATCCTGCCCAGCTTCCGTGTCCATCACCAACTCCAGGAGCTTGCTCAAACTCATGCCCATCAAGTCAATGATGCCATCCGACCATCTTATCCTCTGTCATCCCTTTCTCCTTCTGCCTTCAATCTTTCCCAGCCTCGGGGTCTTTTTGAACGAGTCAGTTCTCATCAGGTGCCCAAAATATTGGAGCTTCAGCTTCAGTCCTTCCAATTGAAAGGTTGTTGCTGAGCTGTGAAAGACACAGGGATTCTTGGCCTCCAGAGGAGAGGAATTCGATCCAGGGCCAGTGAGAAGGCTTGGTCACTCAAAGCTTTTGTGTAATCAGTTTTATTAAAGTAAAAAAGAGATAGAGAAAGCTTCTGACATAGACATCAGAAGGGGGCAGAAAGAGTGCCCCTCCGCCCCCCCCCCCCCCGCTAGTCTTTAGCCAGATGTTATATAGCTACCAGCAGGTTGCTAATTAGAGAAAGGAAATGTCTCAAAACTCAGAGTGGCACCAGGCCCCTCACCCACAGCATGCATTTTGAGATAATATTGGCACAAGGTGAGTCACTCCAGGGCCATAGACAATTGGCATGATTCTTGAAGAAAGGCAAGTTTCCAAGCAAATATATGGTTTCATTAACATAGATGAGGAGAACAATTGTATGAGTAAAACATACTGGTTTGTCAAGTCGGTTCTGAGTCTTAGGTGGAATTGACTTGAAGACAGAGTCTAGGGTAAACACGTAGTTCATTAACATAGTGTAAGAAAAACATTGCCATAAGAAAAATGCATTGGTTAGCTCAAGATTTGAGAAAAGTTATGTTCAGGTGGAACCAGGTGCCGTCACAGGATCAGAGAATTTTAAGAGAAACCTCCTTTTAATTTTGTATAGAGAAGGGGAATAAATCTGACACTTGTAGTTTGTTTCCTCCTGCCACTTAAGAGAGAGAGAAAAAACATCTGACACTTGCAGCCTATTTCCTCCGCTTGGAGACCCCTACCCTTGGAGATCCAACCAGTCTATCCTAAATGAAATCAGTCCTGTGGCATCGAGTCCCATCACTTCATGGGAAATAGATGGGGAAGCAATGGAAACAGTGACAGACTTTATTTTGGGGGGCTCCAAAATCACTGCAGATGGTGACTGTAGCCATGAAATTAAAAGATGCTTACTCCTTAAAATAAAAGCTATGACCAACCTAGACAGCATATCAAAAAGCAGAGACATTACTTCACCAACAAAGGTCCTTCTAGTCAAAGCTATGGTTTTTCCAATAGTCTGTATGGATGTGAGAGTTGGACTATGAAGAAAGCTGAGGGCGGAAGAATTGATGCTTTTGAACTGTGCTGTTAGAGAAGACCTTGAGAATCCCTTGGACTGCAAAGAGATCCAACCAGTCCGTCCTAAAGGAGATCAATCCTGAGTATTCATTGGAAGGATACTGAAGCTGAAACTCCAATATGTAAGCCACCTGATGCGAAGAACTGACTCACTAGAAAAGACACTGATGCTGGGAAAGATTGAAGGCGGGAGGAGAAAGGGACGATAGAGGATGAGATGGTTGGATGGCATCACCAACTCAATGGACATGAGTTTGAGTAAGTTCCAGGAGTTGGTGAGGGACAGGGAAGCCTGGTGTGCTGCAGTCCATGGGGTCACAAAGAGTTGGACATGACTGAACAACTGAACTGAACTGAACTGAGCCTTCCTGCCTTACTCTCTCACAATGAATATTCAAGACTGATTTCCTTTAGGACTGACTAGTTTGATCTCCTTGCTGTCCAACAGACTTTCAAGAGTCTTCTCCAACACCACAGTTCAAAAGCATCAATCCCATGATCTTAGTTTTTTGAATGTTGAGTTTTAAGCCAGCTTTTTCACTCTCTTCTTTCACCTTCCTCACAAGGCTCTTTAGTTCCTCTGTGCTTTCTGCCATAAGAGTGGTGTCATCTGCATATCTGAGGTTACTGATATTTTCCCCAGCAATCTTGATTCCAGCTTGTGCTTTATCCAGCCTGACATTTTGCATGATGTACTCTGCATATAAGTTAAATAAGCAGGGTGACAATATACAGCCTTGACGTCCTCCTTTCCCAACTTGGAACCAGTTCTTTGTTCCATGTCTGGTTCTAATATTGATTCTTGACCTGCATACAGGTTTCTCAGAAGGCAGGTAAGGTGGTCTGGTATTCCCATATCTTTAAGAATTTTCCACAGTTTGTCATAATCCACACAGTCAAAGGATTTAGGGTAGTCAATGAAGCAGAAGTAAACGCTTTTCTAGAATTCTCTTGCTTATTCTATCATCCAACAGATATTGGCAGTTTGATCCCTCTAATCTAGTCCAGGCTACTTGCAGTATGATAGGAAAATAGCACCTTATGGGTGTGTTTTTGAAGAAATGACATCCACAGGGGACAGTTTCTAGAGAAGTATAATGATTTTATAGTTTTGTCTTCTCCCAGTATCCTTAAATTTTTAAACAAAATAGATGACAAGAACTACTATATTTGAGCAAAGTATGACTGAATTCTATCCATTCAGAAACTGTTGGTAGTCCTGTGGTAGTTGAGACATACATAGATACCACTCAAATTATGCCACATAAGTCTTTCACTTAAAAAAAAAAGTATAAAATACATGTGAATCATACACACACACATAAAAGAAGATGTTCTTTACACAAATTAATGCTAACCTAAAATATTAAAGCCATTAATTGTTATTCTTAGTAAGCTACAGGATAAAAGGCAAACAAATGAAAAGAATACTGACATATTTTAGTTTGTAGTTGATTTGAATTCTATATTGTATGTACATATGCTGATACAAATATCAGTATTTTCTCATAAGAATCAGAGAAAGATGCACAATCTGGGTTGAAGATCCTGAAGGTTTTGTACTCAGTGATGAATATTTAGATTCTCCCAGACACATAACTTTAAACAATATTCAAGTGTGAGTGGTTTATTTGGGATGCAAAGAGAACACTTGCAGGAGGTGGGGTGGAGAATGCACCAAGGAAGGGAAGTCAGTCAGTAAAAGTTATAGTAGTATCAAAACATTTTCCACTATGGTTCGTATTGCCCAATAAAAATGCCTCAGTATGGTCCAAAATACCAATTATAAATCTGAAAAACAATCCTATCATAGTGCACTGTTCTGTAGACTTGTGTAATGTCAGATTGATATTCAAAAGTCCTCAAAACTAATACTGGAGCAATGGAAACTAGCATACTGAGATGTCTTAGAGCGAAAAGTGCTGTAGAACATTGTTTATTCAACATAAACTATAAATTTATTTCACGAAGTCTACAAGTAACATACTATATGTTACAAATTCCACTTAAAAGAAGCAAGACTAATTAGTAATTTTCTGGTCACAGACAAGACCAGCCAAAGTTCCATATGATACACTCCTTACGGAACTGGCAGCTGTCCAAGAAGAAATTGTTACTGTACATAACACCCTCAGGAGAGGAGTGTCTCCACCAGCCAGCAACATGCTGAAAATGGTAAGATTAATTAAACAGCAACCATGATGATGCCAATAATAGTAATGGTGTTTACTGAGATTTTATTAAGTTCTATCTGGTTTCCATATACCAAAAGTCTGGTCTTCACAAATAAACCTATAATGCAGCAGCAGAAGAAACAGAGGCTCAGAGGAGGTAAGTAGCTTGCCCAAACTCACAGAGTTAGTAAGTGACAGAGCCACAATTCCATCACAGGAAGTGTAATTTTATTCTTAATGGACCCTAGGACAGTGTTTCTCAAACTCTAGTATGCTTGAGTCAGCTGAGAATTTGATGAAGCACAGGACCCTGGGCCCCACTCTCTGAGGTCTGATTCAGGAGGGCTGGGATGGATACCATTCCAAGCTCCCAGATAATGCTGATGCTGCCAGTCAGCATCATCAGTATGGCAGATGCTACAGGTGCTTTAACAATGCATTTGGAGAGGCATTTCACAGCTGTCTTCACTGAGCAGTAGCCCAGAGGCTAAGATGCTCTGAGAATCAAGATGTCCATGTTCTAACCTGGTGGTGCAGCTAGATGAGCAAATATTGGCAAATCCATTTCCCTGTTTCAAACACTAGTGGTAAAGAATTCTCCTGCCAGTGCAAGAGGCTTAAGAGACCTGAGTTCGATCCCTGGGTTGAAAAGATCTCCTGGAGTAGGAAATGGCAACCCACTCCAATATTCTTGCCTGGAAAATCCAATGGCGAGAGAAGCCTGGCGGGCCACAGGCCAAAGGGTCACAAAGAGTCAGACAAGACTAAAGTGACTTAGCATACAAGAAAAGAGAAATTGTCTTTCCTCTGTAAACCTGTGGTGTGAGCAAAAAAGTGCTACCAAACAAACAAATATAGGAACTGTTCAGGTGTATTAGGTGACTAGCCTCACCTATATTATATCCCAGAAGTATCACTCAGGTTTGGGGGATCCTAAATTTGGTTGTTTATCCCCAGACTAGTCTAGAATAACAAAGGTTAGAAATAATGCAAGCTCTGGGAACTGATTCTAGGGGACAGTTTTCTTAGGCAAATGACAAAAAAGGGAGGAAAAGAGTAAATGGAAAAATTGATCTTGAAATATATCTCTTGGTCATCTTAGAACCCAAAATAATAAGAGCCAGCAGCCAGCATAGGCATTTTTGCATTGTGAGCATTGTAACTGACAGCATATTATACTTACTACAGTTTGAAAGGCATTCTTCTAGAACCTTATTGCATTATTTCATTTAATTCTCTCAATCATCTTGTGATGTAAATGATACTATCATCTCTGTTTTACAGATGGTAAATCTGAACATCAGAGAAATTAGGTATCTCATCTAAAGTCTTAAGTACTGGATAAAAACAGATTCAATATGAATGCCCAGCTCCAGGGACCAGCTCTTTACACTTTACCTTCCTTAGGACAAACAGGGTTCAAAATCCTCAGTTTCCAGATGAACAAATAACTGTAACTAGGAGGTAGAGAAGAAGTTATAGAGTGAACAGAAAATATAGACTCTGATTTCAGCGACTTTATTATTGTGTATTCGAGGTAAATACAGAGGAAATATTAGAACATAGTATTGAATATATGGGCTTCCCTAGTAGCTCAGCTGGTAAAAAATCTGCCTGCAATGCAGGAGACCCCAGTTCAACTCCTGGGTCAAGAAGATCCCCTGGAGAAGTGATAGGCTACCCACTCCAATATTCTTGGGCTTCCCTAGTGGCTAAGATAGTAAAGAATCTGCTTGCAATGCGGGAGACCTGGGTCCAATCCATGCATTGGGAAGATCCCCTGGTGGAGGGCATGGCAACCCACTCCAGTATTCTTGCCTGGGGGATCCCCATGGACAGAGGTGCCTGGCAGGCTACAGTCCATGGGATTGCAAGGAGTCTGACACAACTGAGTGACTAAGCACAGCACAGCATTGAATATATAGAATATATAAAATTAATATATTTAAGTACTAAGATGCAAACATATGAGAGATCAATAATATGATAAATTAAGTGTTCCAGTAAAATTGAGTAACATTTTAAAAGACAATATGGGAGTTGAGTTGTTCCATAAATAACGCATAGGGCTTGGAGAGAAAGGAACTTGATAGAATTATAGAAGAGCTGAAAAGCCGATCACAAATGCCAGGCAAAGATTTTCCAGAAAAGAAAAATGAAAGTTTCTGCACATAAAGTTGGAATTTTATTTAAACAAAACCATTTGCTAAAGCCAGAACTTGTCATTTTGCTGCAATAACCATACATACTTACTTTTAGTTTAACTTATGATGTATAATAAAAAAATTTGTATCTTACCAACATTACTCAGAGGTAATATCCCAAAGGGCTTCCTCAAAGAAGTCTGAACCACAGGCTATTTGTGATTAAGGTTTCAGGTGCTTTACACAATAAGATAAACAGACTCTGAGATGGAGATTAGCATGTATGATGTTTATTGGGGAACAATTTCCAGAGATCTGTGGATGTGGATAAAGAAGCAGCATAGAGTGTACAAAGAAGCTGGGTTGTGAGTATAGGCACAACAGAAGCCTCCACTAATCCCATGGGAAACAGTACAACTAGGACGGCTCCATAGACCTTGTCCTGAGTTGGAAAGAGGTTGCGTGGCATTTATAGTTACTATAGCTATGTGCTTGTGCTGTTTGATGTGTGCTGCCCTTGGGAAGTAAGTATGCTCATGAATAAGGACAACATTTGTTAAAAAGGACAGTAGAGCTTTCTGTGGGCAAGACTCTCAGCTCTAGAGGAAATAAGTGCTTCAGTTCTGAAAGTGATCTGGGTATGGGTGGTGCATCTTAGTATGCACAATGAACAGTCAGCAGTAAATTAGCCAGAGAAGTTCCAGTTCTAAACACTTGGTAACCTCGTCATAATAGGCAAGATTTTATATTTGTGAGTTCAGTGATGTTAATCCCACTGCCAGGAGATATTATGCCCTGATGAGATGTTTAATGTCAGCTCTACTTTTTTAATTAGATGTATCCATTATTGAAATAATCTTACATCTTTTTTTTTTCCTTTTCTTTCCTCAAGGGCTAGCTTTTTTTTCTTTTTTTCTTTCTTCTTTAATTGGAGTATAGTTGCAATGCTGTGTTAGTTTCTGCTGTACCACAACGTGAATCAGTGATACATACATATCCTATTTTTTTGGATTTCCTTCCCATTTAGGTCACCACAGAGCATTGGGTAGAGTTCTTTGTTTTACAGTCAGTTCTCATTAGTTATCTATTTTATTTATACACAGTAGTGTGTGTATCTATCTATATATATCTATATACATATATATAGTGTATGTCTGTCCCAATCTCCCAACTCATTCCATTCCTTGGTATCCATCTTTGTTTTCTATGTCTGGGTCTCTATTTCTGCTCTGCAAATAAGTTCATGTATACCATTTTTCTGGATTTCATGTACATGCATTAATATATGATATTTGTTTTTCTCTTTTGACTTACTTCACTCTGGAAATACATCTTTTCTTGCATGAAACAAGCAAACCCAAAAAAAACACATTTTTACTTTGGCCCTAACCTAAGGAGTTGCTTGATTAACCTCACAATTTAATCAATTCATCAACCTGCAAGATAATTCTATAAAACTAACACAGATGGCAGCCTATGCATATGAGATAACCTTTTTCAATGGCAGCGAAAATATTGAAAATCCAAGTTAAGGCATTGTTGAAAAATTCTTTTCAAGAGTAGTTGGATGATTTATATAAAAGCCCATAGTAAACAAGCGATGCTGCAACTTTTTTTTCAATAATAATGTGTTTTGTGCAGATTTGGGGACAATCTTTTAAGTGGATGTACATAATGTGAGAATGATAGAATGTTCGGGAGAACATTTGTCACCGTCCCATAACAAGGGGTGTAGACTTTCTGCCTTTCATCTTATTTGGAGAAAAACCCAACAAAATGCTTCAACTTAACACAATCGACACACGCTCCAGAGCCAGAAGAACTTTGATTCCAAATTTCTTTCTGCCACTTAATAGATTGTATTATCTTGAAAAGTTAAGCAACATCTCTGTGTCTGTTTCCTGATTTGCAGATGGGGATAGTATGAGTGATCCCTTGTAGAACTGCTATGAGTAAAGATGAGAGAATACACGTAAAGAATTGGTGACAGATCCTTGCATGTATGTTAGCTATGATTTGCTATCATTATTCACAATTTAGATGGAGCTATGTGACACTATATTTGTTTCTTTTTTTTTCTACTTTTATTTTTTTTTTCATTTATTTTTATTAGTTGGAGGCTAATTACTTTACAATATTGTAGTGGGTTTTGTCATACATTGACATGAATCAGCCATGGATTTAATCACAGCAATATTTATTTATTGAGCATGTAGCATAAGATTTATTATATCATAGTTGTATTACATGGATTATCCAAATTAAAATCTTAAAATTTTTGAACTATTGTGTATGAATCATGGGGCATATTTTACAGATGAAAAAATTGTGATTCAGAGAGATTTAATAATGTGTCAAAGGTAAAACTATTAATAAATAATGGGATGGATTTCTAACTTGTCTGTTTTAATGGAAGCATTTACTTAAATGCTAATATTTCAGAAAAAGAAGCTACATCTGAATATTATTATCGAGTTTTGATCTTGTAAGTTCAAGGGTTAAAACAATGGACTGAAAGATTTGTCTTCTTCTTCCAACCAAAATATTTAAGAGAGGTGCTTCCAACTAAAATACTTAAGAGAATTCAGTTGTCGGCCTACACAATTGAGAATATTGCTAGCTTTGGATTTTTAGAAAGAATGAACTAGAATCTTATCATAGAAATGTGTTATTAGGCCATGTGTCTGTATTTCACTTGTAGAACTGGAGTGAAGAAGCCGCACAAAATGCCAGAATGTTGTCAAAGGATTGTGAACTGGTACAAAGCAATGCACTCAAGAGGCGAATTGCAAGTAGGTATACAACACACCTTTTTGCTCAAAAGTCCTCCGGAATTGTTCAGTAACCTGGTAAGGGTAAGTTAAGTCATCTAGCATGTATTTACACTTACCCCATAAATGGCAGTGAATTGTGACTCATAGTACTGTTTCATTGCTGCTCATTTTTAAATTTGGATATTCAAATTTTCAAATTCCTGATTCTGATCACCAAAAGAAAAGAGTCAAAGCTCTCAATATCATAGGATAGTTGAATACAATAATAACAGATGGAAAGCTGTATGGCTAGAAGGTTCCCACTCCATGTAGTTATTTTGTGCATGCGTGCTAAGTCACTTCAGTCGTGTTCGACTCTGTGTGATCCTATGGACTATAGCCCACCAGGTCCTCTGTCCGTGGGATTCTCCAGGCAAGAATACTGGAGTGGGTTCCTCTCCATGCCCTCCTCCAGGGCATTTTCCCAACCCAGGGATGTAGCCCACATCTCTTACATCTCCTGCACTGACTGGCAGATTCTTTACCACTAGCGCCACCTGGGAAGCCCATAGTTATTTCAGTTACTCACAATATTACCATGGGACTATATTTAGCTTTGGAATGAGCTATCTTTATTTGAGAAGTGAGTCATACTCAACTCTATGGAGCTGCCCATAAGAACAGGTTTAGATGATCAAAAATAAACCCATCTCATGGCATATATATTAGGTAGATCACTGCTAATTTCCTGAAAAGCCATTAGTGTCTCCTACACGAGCAGACATTAATAACACTCTGTATTTAAAGATTTTGGGGCATCTTTACTCAATGCTGTTAAGCTGTGAATTGGCAATATGAATCTTCCCTGCCCCAGAGAAAGGCAGTTTACTACCAAATGTCACATTTGATTGAGAGCCCACATCACAAGTGAATGGATGGCCAAATGAGCAAATGTTTATTTCAAGGTCTTTGCATGATGAATACTTCATGTGGTTGCTTTCAAGGCATGGACTTGGTTACAACTCATAGATTGTTCTGATTGGTTTCATCTTTCTCCATCAGCTTGGACATGGAAGAAACTAAAATGTTGGTTAATCTGACTTCCAAGCTTGCAGATCATTTCCTACCATCAAGTTTTCAGCAAACCTGAGCATTGCACGTTTATTCATCAAAGAGAAAGAAAACTGTTAGCCAAATACAGCTGAGTTGGCCTCCTCTTATCAAACATTAGTAGATTTCTCTGGTGGCTCAGATGGTAAAAGCGTCTGCCTACAACGCAGGAGAACTGGGTTCAATCCCTGGCTTGGGAAGATCCCCTGGAGAAGGAAATGGCAACCCACTCCAGTATTCTTGCCTGGAAAATTCCATGGACAGAAGAGCCTGGTGGGCTACAGTCCATGGGGTCACAGAGAGTCGGACACGACTGAGCAACTTCACTTTCCCTTTCCCTTTCACTTTATCAAACATTGCTTGGATGACCAATGAAACATTTCTAAAATAAAAGTGAGGAAAGTATCCTTGTAAAATATTTCTAAGCTTCATAAAGTATAACCTAGTCCTTTCTCCTCCTCTTAGATACTTTTTGTGGAGAAAATATGCATCTGACAACTTATCCTATCTCATGGTCAAATGTGATCAGGATCTGGTACAATGAGTATAAATATTTCCAGTATGGGGAGTGGACATTGACAGATGATGACATGACAACTGAGCATTATACTCAGGTAAACTGTGCGCTGGCCAATATACCTATTAATTAAGTGACTCTAAGGGTGTGTGGAAAATAGGCAAATAAGAACCATGGGAAATCATTCTACCCACTTTTTGCAAATTTACAGTCCTCAAAGATACTTCTTAACTTTTAGTGGGAAATAATACTTGGAAACCATTATCTGGGATCTGGGTATGTTCAAGGACTTCTTTAGTTTAGAAAAAACTAAAGAAGGGGTTGGAGAAGGAGGCTGAACCATGATACCTTCAAGAGCTGAAGGAGATGAACACGGAAGGGCCTTATCATTGGAGCCATATTAACTATTATAAATGTTACCTTGTATTTTGAATGTAGTAGAAGTCATTAAACAGGAGAATGATTTAACCTGATTCACATTTTTAAAATACCACTGGGCTTCAGTGCAGATAATACATCAATTCTACAAAAATGACTTTGAATATCTAAATCAGGTGATTTATTTTCCAGCAAGATGTAAATTAACAAAACTCATCCAGAATGGATAGTTTAATGGATATTTAATATACAAGAAATACAAATGGTAAAACAGTGTTATCCCCCAAGCAGAAGACTCAGCTGTGACACAAAATCTGTAATAAAATCTACTCACAATAAAACCTACTTAAGATTAATGTCAAAAGCTTACAAAGATAGCACATTTAAGAAACATAGACTTAATCACTTATTCTTTTTTTTTTCTTTTTTATTTTTTCCATTTATTTTTATTAGTTGGAAGCTAATTACTTTACAATATTGTAGAGGTTTTTGCCATACATTGACATGAATCAGCCATGGATTTACATGTATTTCCCATCCTGATCCCCCCTCCCTTAATCACTTATTCTAAAGCAAAGCAGACATTTCTAAATAAAGACTAGCAAGTAGAATTCTTCTTCCTTATTATTATTACTATTATTTACCTGGCCATGTGGCATGTGGGATCTTAATTCCCCAACAAGGGATCAAACCCACACCCCGAGCTGTGAAAGTGCAGTCTTAACCACTGCACCACCAGGGATATCCCAATAGCATTCTTATTTTAAGATAGATATCATTTGACACAAGTGGTATGTGCCAGGAATCCTAGGGTAGTATAGCATTAGACCATTTATTTATAATTTATGCTATCAGAGGATAAAAAAATTATTACTCAGAGAGCTAAAAATATGACAATGTGAGACAACAATTCCTGCTTTCCTTTTCTTTTAGGTAAAAGTAGACTAGACCCACTATTTCCATCAAAAGAACATGAGCTCTATTACTCTGAAACAGTAATTTAATATTTCTTCTTCCAAACACTTGAAAGTTTTTTTATTCAATCCCCACCATATACCTATGATGTAGAAGCTAGTATTATTATATTTCATTTTACAAATAATAAAATGAGATTTCAAGACATAAAACAAGCTGGTAAATACCATCCCACCAGGAAGTAGCAGAGATGGATTTTGAACCTGACTCATTTTTTTCTCAAGGGCCAACTCACTGTTCTCCGCCATGCCACTTTTTTGATGATTAAGCAAGGTTGCTGCCATGTTCTAATCTTTATGCATTCACCAAACAGTCTTCATCATGTTACTATATTTTCCATACAGATTTGATAAGAAGAACATAAGTCAGGGTCAGTGATGGCACCCAAGTATGCATAGGTATGCACGATATCTAGACACATGGGAATCAGTTCCTATGACCTCCTAACAAGCCATGATGCTCAAAGCATCCTAAAAGCATGTGTGTTTATTTTCAATCATGGATAACAATATTCATATTGTAATCATTTAGCAAACTACCAAATTACTAATATAATAATCTTACCTTTACAGGTTGTTTGGGCCACTTCTTATCTTATTGGCTGTGGCGTGTCATCATGTCATAAAGGAATTCACTACCTCTACATTTGTCACTATTGTCATGAGTATGTATTATACAGTTTTAGTTTCACATAACTTTTAGAAATACATTTCCCTTACATCATCTAGTTTCTCAAAAATCATTTGTTTTAAATTATTTTAACTGATTTTCAAGAGTAAAATTTTACTTGCATTTTTCAAACAGGAATTTTATTAGACCACTTTTTTCTTTGTTCTTTTTTAAGGGGAAATGATCCTGAAAAGAAGAATGTACCTTATAACAAGGGAAGTCCATGTGGAGACTGTCCAAATAACTGTGAAGACAAACTATGTAGTAAGTTTTACATCTCAGTGTGCTTAATATTGATTGTTGATCTGGGAGCCATGGATCATGAAAATCAAGCATTTAATAATATTACAATTTTCTATAATATTACTTTTTCCTCAATCATCCCAAAGCAAATAATTAACATTATCTGGTTTCCTTTCCCCCACTCCCAAAGTGACGCAGGAGACCAATGATTAAATCTATTGGATTGGAAATTAGAACATTCAGGTCTAAACTCAACTTTCCACCCTAAAACTTAAAGTTCTCACTCTATAATAAGGGCATCTTGTATAAGATGTTACTATAAGATAACTTTTTCTCTGCTCTTGAATAAAAAGTTCCTTGGCTCTGTTATCGCAGCCCTGAAGTTAGACACCTTGCTTTCAGGTTCCCAGGGCTCTCAGGCTGCTCTTTAGCCACAACCCCTCTACCTGCCTGTCCACTTATCAGAGAAGGTGGTAATTTTTTACTGAGTAATCCTTATGCTTTTAAGTTTCCACAGACACATTGGAAGACGTGAACGGTCTATTTACTGTATATCATTTTATTTCTTAAGTAAATCTTAGCTAAAATGTAGTATTAACTTAAGTGGGTTCCAATTCCATGTTCATTTCCTTAGGTAACAAAAGTGTCTTTTTCTGGAGTTTTCTTCAGGCATAATTTACTAGTCCATAGGGATATGTGTATAACTTAATTTTCAGTAAGTTTATGGAGAAATAATAGACTTCCCCCACCACCCAAAAAAAATCCTTTATCTGCAGATTTGGAAGACTAAAAGGTTCATTTTCCTTCACCTGACCAGTCCATTCCATTTCCTTGCTTTTAAAGCAAGAAAAAAATGCAATCTCTCTTCCTTTATCAATTTCTCTGTCTCTCTTCTCCTTTTTTTCCTTCTTCTTCTTCCTGTGACTGTCAGTAACTCATTTTTGAAAATAAATGTAGCTGGAGAAAGATAAAATATCTACCAATTATCTTTGCTACAGGTAATGGGGTAGGTTTTATTTTTTTATCCAAGAGACAAAAGCAATGTCTAGAATGGAATGAAAAATGCCATAGAAGTAAAATGAGAGTAGAAAAGAAAAAAAGTATTACTTAATATTATTGACTCTATAACAGAGGATATACATCTCTTAAGCCCTTTACTCACCTATAAATGCATGAGAAGATGAGAGATGAGTTTCTGAGTCAATATGGTGTAACCTTGCTTTTTCCTTTCAGCGAACCCCTGCATCTACTACGATGAATACAATAACTGTAATACACAAACTCAACGTCTTGGCTGCAAACACCTGTCAGTTCAACGACTCTGCAAAGCTAGCTGTATGTGTCAAACTGAGATAAAATAGCCATTTTATTTGCAGCTGTAATGTGCTGTTGGATCATCTTTGACCTTCCTTTGCTCCAGCAGCTTCTGATGCATTTCAATTCGTTTTAATTACACCTGAGGTACTAATTTTCACTAATCATACATAAGTGTTAGTCACTCAGTCGTGTCCGACTCTCTGCAATCCCATGGATCATATATGGGCATCAGTATATTTACAACAATGCCCTTCATTCCTATTCTGATACATTGTGAAGCAACATTGTTTTAAACTTTCTTAAAACTGGAATGAAATATGATTGATGAAATGTGATAGAACTATGAAATATGGAATGAGATATGATTTAAATATGAAAGAGGTCAACCCCTGCCTCACATTTAAATCATGTGATGTCTAGTTCTCAGGTTGACATGATTCAATGGATCGGATAACTGATTCAGTAGACTGTGCTAAAGGAGGGTCTTTCCCTGTTTAATTCCTTCTCCTGCTTTCCCAGGTCTCCAACTTCCCTGGTATTTGAGTTCCCTGCACAATTAACACACACTAATAATTCATCTCTTCTTAACTTCACTTCTACCTTAAATCAACCATTAAAATAATCCACAAAGCAAAGAGCCCAGTCTCATTACTTGAAAGGTAAATATTGGTTAATGGGGAGTGGTTTGAAGGTCTCACTGTTTCACTACCAAATCTATACACATTTGTAAAGCAGGGTAAGAAAACTGTGTGAGTGCTTAATTTAACAAAATAAATATTCAACATGGATTACATACAAGGGGTAATCCATACATAGAGGATATTCCCTCCCTTATTTCCAACTGAACTGGAATATTAAAGAAACCTAGTGAAGTGTATGGCTACACAGAGAGCACAGTATGTGGTATTTTTTTCGTATATTTTTCAGGTATTTTTTTGGTAAATGCCCTCTTTCTTTCTGAAAGTTTATATAAAAGAAAATTCCCTAGGTTTTTATCATTTGTCATACCACGTAAAAGAAAGAAGCAGTAGAAATAGTTTTACTTCAAGGCTGAAAACTTTTTGTGTTACCCCAAATGAGCTTCATACTGCGAAATATCTCCTAGTAGCTGTGACACAAACATATAGTGTGCTGAATTGAAACAAATACACTGCCAGATATTTCTCCAGCAATGAGTTTATTCAGAATCAGCAGAGAATTGTAATTTGAAGTGGGCAGCTATGGGGAGCCACATGCAAGTCCCCACTTGGCAAAGAAGGAAGGTGCCTTTACAGGGAGGAAAGGAACAAGGGAGGACTATAATAAACAGAGTTCACGGCTCTTTATTGGAGAGTCTTTGAAGGAAGGAAGAGGGAGCTTTCTTTTTCTTGATGGGCGTGAAAGCTGCCCTCGTCGTGTCTCCTGACTCTACTTCATTGAGGCTTCTGTTTATGAATCTTTCAGAAGTGCAACTTTTTGACTACTTCCCAACATCACTCCAATGACCCCAGCTTATCAGGAGTGTTTGTGGACACAGCGGCACTCTTTCCTGTAGACTTGAAATTTCATGGTATACCCAAGGTCTATGTCAGGGGGAGTGTCAAGACTGGACTCAGGAACTCAAATACATTGTTCTATTAAAAACAAATGTATGTGAAGATAGCCAACACTCTGTTTATGGAATGTGTATCACTTTCACTTAAAAAAAGAAAACAAGCAGATGTGTGTGTGTGTGCGCGTGCACACATATGCTCATGGATGCCCAGAAACCCTGTAAAGCAAAAGTAGTAAAGAGCATCCTTGATGGCAAAAACCTAATTAGGTTGTTAGGTTTGTAATGCAGAATGGATTCAGGTCACAAGGAAACTGAAAGTCTTGACTTAATGCAACAGAAAAATGTAACACATCCTAATTCTCAATTAAAAAAATAAAAAGACCTCTATAATAAAAACTCATTTCTATGCAGATGGATATGGAGGCATGTGTTTAAAACGTTCCAAGATATGCAAATAGACAAGTGCTTATTTTGAAGGTCATTGTTCTAAGCATTTGGCAGCCTGGTCATAACAGCAAAATTTCTTCGTGGCATTAGTATTCCCTTTGCCAGAAAATCTTATACCCTTTTAGGGTATTTTCTGTCAATTCTACTCCTTCAGGCACATATAGTTTGATAGAAATATGTACTTTTTAAAGTACACATAGTAGGAAAAAAAGAAATATATCTTGTTGTGTGTAGTAATTAAAAGCTGTAGAACCATGTTTTTTTTTTTTTCCTCTGCGCCAGGCTGTATTTATCCCAGTTTAGAAAATTTATTCACCTAAAGACTAATTCCAGGAAATGACCACAAGATGGCAGCATATACATATGATCACTAAACATTTGAAGCCAAGGGAAAGCAACTGTTATGCTATTTTAAAATTATTCTTTAAAAAAGTAGCTCAATGGTTTTCATTAAAAGATTATAATGAAAACAAAATAAAACAGGCTCCACACTTTGTGGGAATAGGTCACTGTGTTAAGTGAATGTACCCAGAAAAGGATAACTCTAAGAGTGTTAGATTATTCATCCCACACCTACTGATAAAGAGGTTCTTCCTTTCATCTTACTTGTAGGTTAGCTGTTGCCGACATCGACCTAATAACATATCTGCATCTCAGTTTCCTCATTTGCAAATGAGAGTAAGAATAGCACCTCCCTTGTAGAGCTGCTGTGAGGATAAAGTATGGGAAAATATATACAGAATTCCTAACAGATCCTGATATGTTGTGTTAGCTATTAATTTTTATTATTTTTATCATTCACAATTTTTGTTTAAGCTGGATTTAGAAAAGGCAGAGGAGCCAGAGATCAAATTGCCAACATCCGTTGGATCATCGAAAAAGCAAGAGAGTTCCAGAAAAACATCTACATTTACTTTATTGACTACGCCAAAGCCTTTGACTGTGTGGATCGCAGCAAACTGTGGAAAATTCTTCAAGAGGTGGGAATATCAGGCCACCTAACCTGCTTCCTGAGAAATCTGTATGCAGATCGAGAAGCAACAGTTAGAACCGGACATGGGACAACAGACTAATTTCAAATCCAGAAAGGAGTACTCAAGGCTGTATATTTAACTTATATGCAGAGTACATCCTACAAAATGCCACACTGGATGAAGCACAAGCTGGAATCAAGATTGCCGGGAGAAATATCAATAACCTCAGATACACAGATGACTCCACCTTTATGGCAGAAAGTGAAGAACTAAAGAGCCTCTTGATGGAAGTTAAAGAAGAGAGTGAAAAAGTTGGCTTAAAACTCAACATTCAGAAAACTAAGATCAAGGCATCCAGTCCCATCACTTCATGGCAAATAGATGGGGAAACAATGGAAACAGTGACAGACTTTGATTTTGGGCTCCAAGATCACTGCAGATAGTGACTGCAGCCATGCAATTGAAAGACATTTGCCCCTTGGAAGAAAAGCTATGACCAACCTAGACAGCATATTAAAGAGCAAAGACATTTCTTTGCCAATAAAGGTCCATCTAGTCAAAGCTATGGTTTTTCCAGTAGTCATGTATGGATGTGAGAGTTGGACCATAAAGAAAGCTGAGGGCCGAAGAATTGATGCTTTTGAACTGTGGTGTTGGAGAAGACTCTTGAGAGTCCCTTGGACTGCAAGGAGATCCAACCAGTCAATCCTAAAGGAAATCAGTCCTGAATATTCATTGGAAGAACTGATGCTAAAGCTGAAGCTCCACTATTTCAGCCACCTGATGCAAAGAACTGACTCATTGGAAAAGACCCTGATGCTGGGCAACACTGAAGGCAGGAGGAGAAGGGGACGACAGAGGATGAGATGGTTGGATGGCATCACCGACTCGATGGACATGAGTTTGAGTGAACTCCGGGAGTTGGTGATGGAGAGGGAGGCCTGGCATACTGCAGTCCATGGAGTCGCAAAGAGTCGGACACGACTGAGCGACTGAACTGAACTGAACTGGGGTCTCTCATGGAAATGAAGAGATTACATGGCCATGACTAAGATGAGGTGGTTTCTTTCTATTCTATTTGCTGAATATTTATATCACAAAAGAGTACTGAAAATGTGGTTATCAGCTCTTCTACAACTAGCTCTATAAAAAGAAAAACCACATTGAGATAGGTAAGAAGGGAAGAGACAGAATCTACTTAGGACCCCCACTCCCACAAGCAGGAGGGGACATCACAGGGTAGAGAGGTCCTCCCCGAGGAGGAAGGGTGTGCACCCCACATTAGGCACCCCTGCAGTGGGACGGTAAGCCTCCATGGTACAGTCTTTGAAAGCCAACAGGGCTTATGTCCAGAAGGGCCAGAGGGCTGTGGACAACCGAGCCTCTGCCCAAACTCACTCTTTACAAGTCCTTGCAGAGAGGCAGCAGTTTGAAAAGTACCTCCACCAGACATGAAGGAAATTCACTGACTCATTTTACAGGAAGTGCCAAGGAGCGTGGATCCGCTGGAGCTATCTCCAGGGATCAAAGAGCTGGCATGCACCATTCACCTTTCATTCTCCCTCAGCCTAACTGGTCGGGCTCTGGGGGTGCCTTTCTGACATTTGCCATCTACCAGCCTAGGGTCACTTGCCTTGCCTGGTATTCCCCTTGCACATGCAACCTACTCAACCCACCCTCCCCGGCCAGCCCTCTTCCACAGCAGCTCTCGCCCCGCCACACCCAGGGGCAACCTTGGCTGGGACTGGTTTTCCACACTCAGCGGATGGCCTCAGACTGAACCAGAATGCTCCTCAAAGCAGCTCCTACCCCAGAGGGCTCCAACCCAGCCCACCAAGGCACCAGCCCCAGCAGTTTGTGGCTGGACCTGGCCACCAGACCTGCAGAGCTCAGGCCCGGCCTCAGAATCAGCCTTGCTGGGGGCTCACCCAGCTTACCAATACATCTGCAGCAGACACAACCCGGCCTAGGAGATGTTACACGCCGGGACAGGTTGGGACCTGGGATGCTTTGCTGTGGTGCCTGCACCTAGTTAAATGTCTCCCTGAGCAACAAAATACAAAACAACTGTGGGGACTCAAAAATAACT